CCTGAAGTATAGTGTATTAGCTACTTTTCTGTTCCTGTGATAAAATACCATGACCAAGGCTGAAGAAAATATTATAGAAACTGAGAAAGATTAATTAAAGAAATATTACCTAAGTATATTTCAGAATTGAGTTAGTTAACACATTTAGGACTCAATAATTCTCAAGAAAACACCCTTCCTGAAGTATAGTGTATTAGCTACTTTTCTGTTCCTGTGATAAAATACCATGACCAAGGCTACTTATAGAAGAAAGTTTATTTGGCTTATGCTTCCAGAGGGATAAGTCCATCATAGTGGGGAGGCATGGTGGCAGAAGTGGCTGGAGCAGAAGCTGAGCACTCATATCATCAGGCACACACAGGAAGCAGGGGTGGGGATCAGGGAGGTCATATACTCCAGAGTCTGCCCCAGTGACATGCTTCCTCCAGCATGATCACACCTCCTAAAGGTTCCATGACCCTCCTCAGACAGCACCACCAACTGACCAAGTGTTCAAATACTTGGGGTCTATGAGTGGGAGACATTCTCGATTCAAACCTTCATATAGTCTGATAACAGAACTGAAAAAAAATCCTCTTTAGAATGTCTCATGCATATGGACACCACATTTGCAAGCATGTTCACTAAAGCACTATTTGGAAAAGAAAAGAATTAGAAACTAAATTGTCCTGCCCAGTAACAAACTGTAGCTAAATTTTTCTTATAGTGGGATATCACAGAGTAGCTAAATGAAACTATAGCTACATATATCAAAAATGTTGAATAAAAACAAAAAGTTCCAGAAAGATAAGTATAGTATAATATAATCTATATAAATTTTAAGCATACATCATACTATGTATTATAAATTGATCTCCAAATGTAATAAAAATACATGGAGATGTTCTCATCACTTTCAGTGTGATGATTACCTATGAGAAAAATGGAGGGAGGTCTGGGATGTGCTTAACTGTATTTCTCTTTAAATTTTTTTATTTATTATTTTTATTTTATGTGTATGAGTATAATGCCTGCATGTGTGTAAGTACACCTATATCATGCAATGCCCGAGGAGGTCAGAAGGAGGTGTTGGATTCTCCCAGAACTGGAGTTGCAGACAGTTGTTAGCTGTCATGTGGATGCTGCAAATTGAACCTGGGTCTTCTGCAAGGATAGCTAGTGCTCTTAACTGCTGAGCCATCTCTCCAGCCCCAACTGTATTTCTTTTTTATGAAGGACAGTTCTGAAGGCAATCTGACAAGTATTATCTCCAGTTTAAATTTGTGTGGGACTCTTCTGATAAATTACATCTGTGTTTTGAGCTATTAATTTTAAAATTAAAGCTACATCATTAGATACTTAGAACAAAAGCAAAGGAGAATTTCAATCAGTGTTGATTGTGGATTGATGTCAAGGAGACAGTCATACCATATTAGCCTTGGACAAATCACTGAGTCCCGAAGCTTGTTTATTTCATTGCAAGTTCCTGACATTAGTTAGCTCCAGAAGAGCTCTAAATTTATCTTAGAAACTCATTGTCAGTCAAGGTAAAAGGCAAGCTTGTTGTGTTTTTTTAATTCTCATCAGTGGATTAAAAGAAACACAAGTTCAGCTGGAATGGGAAGAGAGAATTTTTCTGTCAGTGAATTTTTAAGGGTTTTGGGGGGACGATTCACCAGGGATTTCTCTTATTCCAGCACAAACTCCTCTTCTGAGCAAGTGACATGTTTGCAAATCAAAGAGCTTTGGAAGCTACAGAAAGTGCATTCCTCTGGAAGGGTCTAGAGATGGATCCCCCAGACATGGCAGAGGGGACTGAAGAGAATGCCCTCTCCTTTTTCTTCCCCAGGCATCAACCAGGCACATTCCAGGGTAACAGATATCCCTGTCCTCTTAGAAGAGAAACTGGGTAGAAGTTTCCGTGTCCCTCTTAAAAGCTCAGTCTCTTCATTTTAAGGTTCTTTTCTCCTGTGATACAACATACAAAATGCACAGGTAGCAAAGGACCCTTCTCACACTGTCCTATGGAATTAAAAATAGGGGCGTAACACAAGATAACGCTCTGTTGATGCTTTTACTGTTGTCCCTGACCTAAAATTTGTATGTGGGTGTGTGGAGGTGGTGGTGGGGGGTTCCACAACAAGCTAACTGTTGGCTTGAAAGCCATGTAAAATCTCAGAGCCGTTTGCAGCTCTGATTTAGTAGAAAAGGAAGAAGGGGAAAAACTAGCAAACATGACAGCATGATTTCATAATAGAGAAATATTTTTCAAAAGAAATCTACATCAACTCTCTAAAAACTATGGTTTTGACAAACTACAAGGAAAGAAATAGCAGGGCAAACCATTAAATTTCAAAGAACGTTTCAGAGGAAATCAAGATAATATTCAGCTATTTTCCTTTCCAGTGATATAAAGATACAGAAACAAGGCTTGTAATTCTTAGAGGATCCAGTGGTTAGCAAACACAACCTATTTTTTATTTTCTTAAATATCAAGTATTATAAGGGAGCCATTTATAAATTTTGTTCACAGGGAATTGAAATATCTAATTTTTAGAAATGTAAACTCTTTAAAGAGAAACCCCTACAGAATGGGTGTTTGCCGATTCTGACTATCCTCCATTTTATTTAAGGACTCATTCTTTGTACACCATTCTCGGGTCATGTAGTCTGAATAGGGCTCCAGCTCTAACTCTGGAGATGAAGCAGGGAATCAGTCCTGAGTTAACCAATGCAGCCCATTTCCCTGGTTGCAGGCAGGGACTGAGATGTAAGCTGCCCCCTACCAGTGACCTGAGGAACACTGGCTTAGGATCTCTTTTTTCTGCTGTAATTCAGCTTGTAAGGATAGAGGCCCAAGAAGCAGTTATAAGTCATAGTGGAACCAGGAATGGATAGTCAGTCTAAGAATGGAGAGGATGTTGAAAAAAAACTAAGACATGCAAAGAAAAAGAGAACAGGATGTAAAGGACATTGCTTCTGTATCTGTATGCAACTATGTCTGGAATCTTAACAACCCAAGATTGTTTACATGAATACATCTCTTTTGGTTTAACCCAATTTGAGCATGGTTTTTTTCTCCTTTCAACAAAAGTATTCAAATTATTTCACCCCGGGTTTTGAATGATAGACTTGTGAGATTCTGAATCTTTTTACAGTAAATGTTTAGAATACTTGGACTAATATCCAAATGAAAGTATCCAGAGTTTTGTGCGATAAAGTTTAAAAAGGAAAACAAAAATCAGTCCTGAAATACTTTTAACAGCTGTTTCACTTAACATAGCACAACAGAGGCCCCATGAAGCCATGTAGAAATAAGCTGAAATATTAATGGTTATATCTGAATGAGCTTACTCAATCTATTATGCCAGAGGTTATTGTGGAAACATAACAGTGTTGGAGAAAGGAACAAACACTTCTCTGTTGAACACTTAACAAAAATCAGTCCTGAAATACTTTTAACAGCTGTTTCACTTAACATAGCACAACAGAGGCCCCATGAAGCCATGTAGAAATAAGCTGAAATATTAATGGTTATATCTGAATGAGCTTACTCAATCTATTATGCCAGAGGTTATTGTGGAAACATAACAGTGTTGGAGAAAGGAACAAACACTTCTCTGTTGAACACTTAATATAGAATTTCCTTTAGGTTGACACAAGTAGTCAATTTGCATGCTTGTATTTAATTTGACCTATCTGAAACCAACAGTTTTATATAGCACAATTAAATACGTTAGAGCCAGGCATGGTGGCACAAGTCTTTAATCCAGCACACTGGTGGCAGAGGCAGGTGGATCTCTGTGAGATCTTGGCTAACCTGCTCTTCATAGAGTTCCAGGCCAGCTGGGGCTATAGGGAGACCTTGACTCAAAAAACTTAAAATAATAAAATAATAATATAGAAAAAAGTCCACATTATTTCTCTTCAGACTTCTTTTTTTTTCCTTAAAGTTTTATTTATTTTTATTTTATGTTTATGCGTGTATTGCCTGCATATTAGGTAAGTGAACCTGTGTCATGCAATGCCCCCAGAGGTCAGAAGAGGCTGTCAGATCCCCTGGGACTGGAATTATGGACAGTTGTTAGCTGCCATGTGGGTGCTGGGATTTGAACCTGGGTCTTCTGCAAGAACAGCCAATGTTCTTAACTGCTGAGCCATCTGTCCAGCCCCTCTTCAGACTTTTTTAAACCAGAAGTTATACTATATTGAGAAAAGGCCTAACTATTCATTTCTATTATCAAAATATATGTTTCACATGGAAGACCTAAAATATATTTTTATTTTTAAAATCTTGCATTAAAGCAGTTTTAAAAATGTATTCTGTCACAGTTTTATACATATATAAAAATGCCATCAGTTTCTTTCCCCCTCTCATTGATTCCCTTCTCCAAGTCCCCTCCTACTTCCATGTCTTCTTCCTTTCTTTCTCTTCTCTTCTCTCTCTCTCTCTCTCTCTCTCTCTCTCTCTCTCCTTTCTCTCTCTCATTCTCTTTCTTTTTATTTATTATTTTTCTGGCAGTCCACTGCATTTAACTGCATTTAATTAGGGTTACTTGCATGAGAAGTCAGAGGTTATTTTCCTGAACAAGGGTAGTTTACCTGTGACTATATCTTTGAAGAAAAATGACTCACCATCCCCTCATAGTCATTAACTGCTATAGCTCCACAGGAAGGGGTGGGACTTTATGAGCCCCTCACCTACCCATAATGGAATGTTCATGAGCCCAGTCCTGTGCAGGACTTATATGGGTAGCCACCATTGCTCTGAGCTCATGAGTGCAACAGTCATGTCATGTCCAGAAGAGATAGCCTCACAGCATGCCTTCCCATCCTCCAGCTCCTACATTCTTTCCACCCTCTCTTCCATGATGTTCCCTGAGGTTTGGAGTAGGTGATACAGATGTCCCATTTAGGACTGAGCACTCAACAGTCACTTATTCTCAGCATGCTGATCAGTCATGAATTTCATCTCTTAAAGCAGTTTCTTTAAATCTCATGCAAATGCAATATTTGCTTACTTGCACATTGTATAGGGGTTGCCTTGGTGAGTTAACTTCTCTCAGCAGACAGTGAGATATGTGCCTTAGCTCTAAGAGTCTACATGCCAGCTGTGGCTGCAGAAGTTTAGCCAGATTTGGAGGAGCTGGATATGCTGTTTAATCCTTGAATTAATGTTCCCCGGTTGATGCTGGCTATAGTGAGAGCTGTTCTGATTTTGGATGTTTTATTCACTGGTTCCTTTTTCTGCAAAATAAACCTTTGAAAAGTATCTGATATGTGATTCTATATATACTACATTATTAAAATTCACTTCTAGCAGAGACTAAGTATGTTGTTACATCATGCATGGTATCTTATATATACTCAGTGTCCAACAAACACACTCCCATACAACTCAATGACCCTCCCCCAATAAAGCTTTTATATGAATACATTAATTTTTCCTTAAGATAAATGTCCAAAATTGAATTAACCAACTGAAAGAATTTTTTATGTCTTTCTCTCTGAGTTTACATCATTTTTGCATTGATTTTTAGAGGCTGCTTTCAAAAATATTATCTTTTCTTCTTTCTTTACTTGTGGCTTGTACATGCTCGGCAAGTTCTTTGCCACTGAACTGTATTTTCACCTTCTTTTTACTTTTTACTTTGAGAAAGGGTGTCATTAAGCTGCCGAAGCTGGGCTTGAACTCACTCCATAGTTGGGAACTTCCTGCCTCAACCTCATGAGTAGCTGGGAACACAGGCCTGTACCACTAGGCTCAGCTGGAAACAAGAATTCTTCTTTAAGCATAATTCAATATTTGAATTATTCCAACAATAATACCTACTTAAAACTGCTACAAATATTTTATAAGTTTACTTTAAAATATGTAAATGATTAAACAGAGCATATATTATTAAGCATGTCTATAATTTAAAGAAAATGAAATTAAATACCCTATATATTAATCACTAAGCTTGAAAAAACTTTACATCTCAAAACTTCAGAAATTCTATAAATTTCTAACAAAACAGTAGCATTACCAAATCATGTGACATCTGGTTCCTTCTCTATCTTACCCAGTAGTATATTACTGAAAAATTGCATTAAGTGTGTTTAGACTGCATTCCAGGCAAAAGATAAGTTTTCATTGTTAAGTAATTTGGGGGGTGATCTGGCCTTTTAGTATATAACTTTGGAAAAAGTACTGATTTAAGCATTAGCTACCAATGATCAACCTGGAGCCTGTAAATATTTGTTCAGCCTAAATGTATAAGTACAAAATATCTGTTAAATGGTATTTTTTAACCTATAGTAAACATATATTTACCCAAGAGCAAACAAGCTATATATTTACTTTTAAAACCTGAATGTTTTCCTTGAAACAACTTTATTACTGTCATTTGTCATCAGATTTCAGTATTTCTCTTACTGTTCAGCATTTTTCATTAGAAACAACTGAAAGCTGTTCTAGTTTGTCAGTAAGGATGCATTTTTTCACCATTTGGTGTCCTGATGTGTTCTGTTCTGTTAACTTTTCTGAAAAGCCCATTAGCCCACAGGTTATGTCACTCCTCCTAGTCAACAGCAACAGTGGAAAGTGCCATCTCAGTAGTGGACTGCTGAATTTGCTACAATCCTGAGTCACTTAGAGGAAAGCAGTCTAAAAGTAGAACAAGCAAAATAACAGGAAGGTGCAATCACTTGGTATTATTTTCTACCCTGGCTGTGGTTATGAGGACAGCCAAGAGAAAGTAATGTTGCTTGCAGTATCTGAAACTCCAGCACCTGCTGATGCCATTTCTCTTGTGACTGTGATGCTGACCCCTCCCAACTCCTAGGAAATGTGAAATAACTAGCATTAATTTGGTTTTCACAATTTACTTATGCTTTCCCTCATTTTATTTTTTAAAGATTTATATTTATTTTTAATTATGTGAGCTTGTGTATGTGCATATGAGTACAGGTGCCCATAGAGGTCAGAAGAGGGTACTGGATTCCCCTGGAACTGGAGTTACAAATGGCTGTGAGCCACCAAGTAGGTGCTGGGAACTGAACCTGAGTCCTGTGCAAGAGTCATCTCTCCAGCCCCTATTCTGTAAGTTTCATTATATAATCTGTTTCTTCTGTTTTTTTCTGTGTGTGTGTGTGTGTTTGTTTGTTTGTTTGTTATACAGTCTTGCTCTCTAGGCCAGGCTGACCTCAAACTAGTTATGTAGCCCCTACTGGGCTCAAACTCCAGACCCTCCTTCCTCAGCCTCCTGAGTGCTGGGATTACAAACATATACCATCATGCCTGATGTTCTTTACAAAGTCTTGGCCTGTGTTCACTGACTGTTTACATCTGCTTCTCTTAAGTAAAATTGATTAATTTTTCCAAACACAAATCAATCCATCCAATCTTTCCTGTTTTTTACACTTTCTAATTTTTATCTTTCTATAAAAATGCTTATTATAATCGATAATCTGATAACCCCAAGTCTCATTTAAGGCTCACATAGTTTAAGTTGATCAAAGCATAGCATTTGTTGAAAATAGCATTATTTCATGGGGGCATACATTGCAGTAATGGCATTATGAACTGTCATCATGAACTCTTGACTATGATCTTTGTTTCTTTCCAGTCCTCAGTTGTTACAATTTGATCATTGAGTTGCCCTGCATGGTTTTTCAAAACTTTACTTTTTTAAAGAAAAATACTTTCCCATATAACTTTGAAAGAATTGTTACTTCCAAAAACAAAGTTCCTGACCACTTTTCTCTTCTCCCCAACAAACTCTGGAATTAGTTCTTTCCCAGGAAGGCTTCCTCTCTGCCTTTGAGAAGATGATATAGGAAAGCAAACCCATGCACCGGGATGCATGTGTGGTAGTCATCCTGGGCTCTGGGAACATGAACATACCAAAGAGCAGTTGCCTGCATTTTAGAGGCAGAATGAGATTTCAGCTGTACAAAACAGTCACCAATTCATGATTGTTTCAAACCACTGTTATTTTCAGTGAGTGACTTTACTAGTTCTAATAGGAAAAATGTTTAAAAATGTTTAAAAAAAGTGTTTAAATGTTTAGATGCCACTTTCTCCCTTTCCTCATTATCTGTACTATATTTTCTTACCAACCATATACATGAATTTAAATATTGACCCCAAATTTTTAAATTTTTCTTTCCTTTGGGTCTTCACTGAAGCATCCTGGGACTGGTTGCAGGCACAATTGTAGATGGTCCTCTTTGCCCTGATCATCCTCATCATCTGAGCTGCACAAATGCCAGAAAAGAAATCCTGCCTGGCCTCAGCCCCACAACTCAGAAACACCCAGAGGCACACAGAGGTTGCTTACCAAAAGAAATTCAGCTTCGGTCAGTAAGATGACTTCAGGAATCCTGCTCCACCTTTCCCCATTTGACCTTCGCTGTTTGAATACACATGCATTCTCCTTTTCTTTTCTTTTTTCTTTTCTTTTCTTTTCTTTTCTTTATTCCCCTTAGAGCCCTTCCCATTTCTTTGTTGCCAGCAGTTTTAATGCTGAACTCTGGTTTCTATTACCTCAGCGTTTCACTATCCTCTATCTAAAAAAACAGCCTGTCAGCAAATCTTATTCAGTTCTTTCTTTGAATCATCCCAGAATTTGGCCACTTCTCACCACCACCTCCCCGCATCCTTTTGTACTTAAATACCACCATCATCTCTTCTCCAAATTAGTGAATTAGCCATCTGTATTAGTCAGGGTTCTCCAAATAAACAGAACCAGTAGAATGAATATGTATAGAGATTTATCAGCTTAGCTCACAGGATAGAGTCGGAGTAGTCCAACAATGGCTGCACCACACTGGAGAGGCTGAGACTCTGTAGTCGCTCAATCCACAAGGCTGGATGTCTCAGTAGTCCCAATCCCATGCTGAAGATCTGACAAATTCCAAAATATCAGCTAGTCTTCAGTCTACAGCAGCAAGATGAACTCACCAGCGAGAGAGAAGGCAAGCCGCAAAAAGCCCCGCGTTCTCCTCTGCCTTGGTCTTTTACACCGGCTGCCATCAGAAGGTAGCACCCACATTTAGGGTGTGTCTTCCGGCTTTAGATGATCCAATCAAGAAGATCTCTTTCATTTCAGTTACTCTCAGATCCAATCAAGTTGACACCCAGGATTAGCCATCACACCATCTAAATGCTTGTCTCCTTTCAGCCTTTCTTATTTTCATTCTTTCAACAACACATAAGCCAGAATGATCCAGTTAAAACCCATGCCAGATCGAATCTTACATTGGCTCAACTGCCGTTGAACTTGGTGTGAAAGCAAAGCAGGTACAAACGCCACAGAGACTGTGGCTTTACTCTGACCTTTCTATCTTCTCCCCCTTTCCCTTTTCAATAGTTGTGGAATTTCATCAAGAATGTTCTGTGAAAGTTGAACTTGTTCTCGTCAGATTCAGACAAAACCAGAGCAAGTAAGTTATGAATAGGGAGGGCTCTTGACTGGCCTGTCTGAGGTAAGTACTTTCTTGAGGAATTCCTAAAGGCTCAGGCGAGGTTCCTTCTCACCATACACACACCCTATGCTTTATACACTTCACCCAAATGAATTGATTTGTGTTAACCAAGTCTATTCTTTGACATTTTTAAACTCTTTTATTTTTATGTATGTGAATGTTTTGCCTGCATGTATATAAGTGCACCTCTGTCGCGCAATGACTACAGAGGCCAGAAGGCATCGGGTCTCCTGGAGCTGGAGTTATAGATACTTTTTAGTTGCCATGTGGGTGTTGGGAGTCAAACCCAGGTCCTCTGCAAGAACAACTGATGACCCTAACCACTGATCTTAACCAGCCCCTACACTTTGACATTTTATACACTGCAATAATTCAGATAAAATGCTCTTTGACAGAACACCTGCCACCCATAGCACCTCCACCAAGGTCTCTATGACCTTGGTCTCTATGACCACCTCAGGTCTCTATGACCAGTGGACCTTGTTACGTAAGAAGCTAACACGAACCTCTCATGTTTGCTTTCAGAGTGTTCCTCTTGCCCTTTTTGACGACGTCTGTAGTTTTCTATGGCATATGCATTCCCATTGCTGTGCTTTGATATTCCCAAATAAATATCATTATTCTTTGGAGAATCTCCTTCTGTTTGTTATCCTGGTTGACTGCTACCCAAGCTATACCATTTAAGCTTCAAAATTAGCTCCCTCACTGCCTTCAAATCTGAATTAAAGAAGTATTTCTCAGCCAAGTGTGCTAGTGCACACCTTTAATCCCAGCACTTGGGAGGCAGAGGCAGGCAGATCCCTGTAAGATGGAGG